TTTTTTTTTTTTTGGAAGACATGTTCCAATCTATTCGTGGGGAGCAGCACGTGCTGGGAATCAGGCCCAGCGTCCCATATGAAGACATGTAAAAACAATTTATGAACAAATTGAGGTACTGGGGCCATTACCCGGTTTCGGCTTGAGAGCATCCTCCAAAATCATGAACAAGCTACTGAAAATCGGGATATACGTCCTCTTTTCGAGGGTTCGGTTGCTCAACATACCTTTGGGAGATGATGCCTTTGAGGACTGAGAAAAGTGGCCTTTGGATGGACATATAGGCATTCAGAAATCCTCCATGAACCTGGCCAGATTGTGACATCAAAGGGGACAGAACATGCAAGAACTAAGAAAAAAAAGGCATCATAGTATGCACACACATGCAGACATGCAAGCATTCCAGAACCCTTTTTTTTTTCCTTTTTTTTTTAGGGCCTAAGGCCCTAAACAAAGTTCAGGTATGGTTAGCAGGGGTTAACCATGCAAAACACTGAAAGCATGGTTTGAACTTTGAAGGCCACATTTTTTGTTCTTCTGAGTTTTTTTTTTTTTTTTTTTTTTTTTTTTTTTTTTTGCTGTTTGTGAATATGGTGTCTAGTACTCCATGAATTTACAGCAAGTTTGTTCAAAAAGCCCTGGGTTTTCTTATAAATGGCATGACGTAAGGATGCGTGAGTGGGTTGTGTATGATGTAATACTGCTACTTTGACTTGCCGGGGGGATAGGAACCGGACTGACGCTCCCCAGAATGGATATGGATTATTATGGAGACAGGACCATAAGTGCAAGGAACATGAGCGAGAGAGAGAGAGAGCGATAGAGAGAAATCCAAATTGCAATATCACGCTGTAGACCGTATAGTCCCATACCATGCAGGACGCACCATGCACTGAGATACAAGCCAAATAAGAGCAAGACAATGAACTCTTTTTTTTTTTTTTCCTTCTTCTTTTTTATACAAACTGTCCTCATCATCTCCAGCAAGACAATGAACTCAAATCATCAAATGTCAATGCCGACACTCTCTCTCTACACCAACATAGTATCCAATGTTGCTCTTCGCGAATGGCGGCTCAGCGCAAAGCCTATCCTACTCAGCAACTACTCTAGCCTACACCACGTTCGTGCAACAAAAGTCACTTCGAGCTGAAGACCCAGGTACGTGACGCCGCCGCCCACGCAGACTGCCAGCATATACCAGGCCCGTCTCTCTCCTCTCCTCATCACCCCTAGTCTCCCCTCTGCATGCACCTCCTACCCGAAGACCACTACCGTCATCATCCGCCTGCGCCCCAGCAGCCCAGCTCTGGCCGCCGTGCGCCCGCTGCCACCGCATCGCCCTCTCACCTCCAATCGCCTGTGTGCGCCCCAGCCTGCCACCGCTAGAGCCAGCACTCACGCGACAATGCAGCAGCGTGGCTGCAATGCCTGAGCAGGCCAGAATGTCCTCCCCCTGGCCGCTCACTTTCCTTTATGGAAAGCAAGCCCGGCTGCCGCCTGCTCTCGGCCTGGAATGTGGCGGCCCAGTAGATTCAGGTCGGTCCAAAGTGTCTCCGTCCAGGGCCCTTCAGACAGTTGCAAAGGCCCGCAGCTTCCAATGTGCCCCGTTCCCAGGATCCAAGTGTTTGTTCCGCACCAATAGATTGGAGCAACTAGGAAACCTGCTAGGGGGGGATGCTGGTATCACCTCCCCTAGCAGCCTTTCCTGTTAAAAAAAAAAAAAAAAAAAAAAAAAAGGATCCAAGTGTTTGTTCCGATCTCATTGGCTCGTGGCATGCTTGTGACGTCGCAGCTGCATTCTCATTGGTCCACAGCCAGTCTGTGATGCGTCGGCCTCAGAGGGCGTGTGTGCCCAGGGCCTTAACTAACTGAGCCCTGGGCTCAACCACCGGATGTGGGCACAACCACCAGGCGATGTCATCATTATAGCCCTATAAGTGATATCGGACTACATCGCTTGTTGTGCGAGTGATATAGGACTGCATCGCAAGTTGTGTGATATCGGACTAGAGCACGAATGAGCCAGGGAAGGCTCACGTTGCTCCGTAACCAAGTGCCGTTGGGTAACCGTCTGGTGCCCACATTCAGGAAAATTTGACAGATCTTGGGGCCCCTCGTCGGAGATCAGGCCCGCCTTCACTTATTAGGGCGGGCAACATGCTTGCTGGGGGGTCCCCATGGGCAGCTGGAGGCCGCGGCTTGGTGGCCACGTGAGTAGTAAATCCTTGCATTAAGGACCTGTTACCAAAAAAAAAAAGAAAAAAAAAAAAAAGAAAGGCATGACAACTTCGCTGCAAGTCCAGGCCTCCGTTAACCTTCTTCTGTGTATAGTCGCGGCAGACGAAGGGATGGAAACAGACAGACGACCATAGGATCCGATGAAATCATATCGGGGCTGATTGGTTCAAACGTCAAACTTCAAATATACCCCTCCAGGTGGTTCTCTCCTTTCTCATTGTATACCATATTTGAAAGTTCGACGTTTGAACCATGAGTTTCTCTGAGATTCATACAGCCCTGAGAAAAAGGGGGAGTACCCTCATTATTGAGGAGGAGGAGGCCAGAACAAGGATGATTGCGACATTGTCCCATGCCATGTGCATAATGTGCTCCACGTGTTCACTATGAACGTAAAGCCTCACACATCGAGTTAAATAATTAGGGGGAGGGGACCGGAGGGGAGGCACAGTGACTGGCCCATCGAAGAAGCTCGGTCCTGATGCTACCGGCTGACCCCTGCCCGGTATCGCCCACCTGCTGTAGCAGGTATCGCACCTGCTGGTGGGTGCAGCTCCCGCATGTTCCCTTGTTGGAGGCTTGAGCACGGATGTGGCTGCTACGGGGTTCCCCATAATACTATAATGACAATAAAAAAGACCTGAAAGGCCGTCCTGTCCAGAGTTGCAGTTGTTTCTCCCCTCCACATGCCAAAAAAAAAAAAAAAGAAAGAAAAAATCTCCTCCACATGCCAGCCACAAGCTCCAAAAAGATTTTTCCATTTTTCCCCTCCACAGACCACAGGGCGAGATCCCACTGGCAAAAACGATTGGAATAAGTGTCTGAATCTGGCCGTGTTTGTTGAGAGGTGCGAAAAACTGTAATTGATCTGCTTTTCTGCATCTCTTCCTGGGACACGTCCTTTTCTTTTCTTTTTTCTTTTTTAAGCCCAGGGTGTTGTAGAGGCCGGTTACTAGACACACATTGATCGCCTGGAGCAGTCCACCATAGTTGCACACACAAAAGACAAAAACGGAAAAAGAAAGAACAACGACAACGACAACGATGGGGAGCAACACCTGCTCGTTGTCGTTGCCAGGCAAAGCCTCAATCCCGGTGGTTCTCGTACCACCACCAGCATAGAGGCCTTGCACAAGGGCCTAAAGAAAAAGGGAAAAAAAAAAAAAAAAAAAAACGAAAAAACAACGACAACCATATGACAATGACAAGCGAAAAAAACACAAACAGACAAGTCCGTAGAAGTGAGAAACCAGAGAAAAAAAAAAAAACAAAAAAAAAAAAAAAAAAAAAAACGACAACGACAACGACAACAGGCAAAAGAGAACGGACAAGATGTCGCTGATTTAGGCAAAGACCTCGAGGGAGCGAGGCTACCTTCCCATCCCATCCTCATGTCAATACTCCTAGCGCACCCCCTATCTCTACTATCCTACCTCAGTGTGACCAGCACTCAGGACCATTACCCCTGCTTGGTATCGAGGGGAACTTGGCCCGAACAGTGGTGACAGGAACCAGGGCTAGCCGCGGCCATGACCCAGCCCTGGTGGAAGCGGAATCAAACAAGCCTTCGTCGCACGGGAACTTCGAACGCCAGGCCCAAGCAGTCTCCGACTAGCCCGTAAGTTGACGACCAACAGGTAACTCACACCCTCTACTCACCCACAACAGTCCTAGATGATTTTAAGGCGGGGTACTTATCCTCATAACGCCTATCATCATCTCAATTAGTCGAACACGTCGAGATTCAGACACTTGTTCCAATCCTCTTGCCGGTGGGATCTGGCCCACACTCTCCAAACACATGTTCCAAAAACTTTTCCATGGCTCCTCTACACATCTAATTGTTGATGATGAACTAAACAAATCAACAGTTCGAACCCTCATGGAAACGGATAGACATAGTAGGTTAGGGCTTACATTCCACATTGCCTGAAAAAAAAAAGGGGGTAACTAGGGCGCAGTACACGCGTTTTGAGTTCTAAATCCACTTCAGGCATCCCTTGAATACAACACATCCCCACCCAACCCTAAAGCTGGGTTGGATACATTCACTCTTTTCCTCGCTTTGGAGAAAAATTCACGAAACTGTGACTGAAATGCATTTAAAAATTAAAACTGAAAACCTTGAAAAAAAAAAGGACAAAAAAAGAATAAACCAGGTTGAAGCACCACTTGCCAAATCAAACCTTTTTTTTTTTTTCTTTTTTTTTTTTCTTCTGCCAAATCAAACCTTAATAAGTTCATACCATGATCTCATTGTCCATATCACCACCAACGCGCTCCGGGCTTAGCCTGCAAAAGCGAAAAACACACAATAAACACAATTTGACATCAGGACCAATGACTACACTATCTTCCCCCCCGATCACAATGCACCCTCTTCATGACTGTATCGGACCCAAAAGAGAGCATCTATGCATTCATGAAGAGGGTTTGTGTTTTGTGCATAGATTTGCATCCCTGCATGTCTGTGTGTGTGTGTCTGTGTGTGACAGAGAGATAGAGGGGGCGAGAGAAAGAGATCTAACTCTCTCTCTCTCTCTCTCTCTCTCTCTCTCTCTCTCTCTCTCTCTCTCTCTCTCTCTCTCTCTCTCTCTCTCTCTC